TATCAATATTTATTTCCAAGTTCCAACATTTATTTCCAGAGATCTGTTACGAGATAATACTAACATACGTAATGAGCCATTAATAATTGTTCCTGTCTGAACACTTCAGAGGCGAATAACTTGAAATTATTTTATTTGGCTATTATTCAATATACAGCTATGCGTAAACGGAAATACATTTCGGATACATCAGGTGACACTTCCCACAAAATGGAATCCACATCAATACATTTAAGTTTAAATTCAAATTAAAAAACTTACCTAATATTTGCTAAGATAAGTCGATCTAACTAATCAGCCCTTGCTAAACAAGCATGATATATTATAAAATATGTTTAAACACAAGTCGACGAATAATTTAATAATGATCTATGATGCCTGGTGCGTTCCCTTTTCAGATATCGATTATCAATTTCATTTGATATCTTATCACTTTCCACGTGTAATCTCATACTAGTCGTGTTATATGTAAAGTAATTTTAAGCCCAAGTAATTGGGTTCAAACAGACATTGATAATGGATTGAATGTTCTTAATGTAATTTCAGGTGTTTGTATTATAAATAAGGAGCGGATTTTGATTACCTAAAACATTGCCAAAAATGATCATATAAATCTTTAAAAATGTCATTTGACAAAAATAAATTTTCACTAAAACCCACCCCTTAGTTCCGACCACATTTTCACTAGCTTCATTTGCAATAGCCATGACTTTGTAGAAATTCATTTGAGTTTCTATTTGTGATTTGTTTTTTAAGTACCCTTTGATAGTACCACACTTGTTGAGTTTTTCAATTTTTTTTACTTTCTTACCCTTACTACCTAAGAAGATAACGTATTGTAATCGTGCGCCGGAAGACGGTGAATTTTCGACACAACTCTTATTGCCGGGCCCTGGTAAGGAAAAAGTGAATAAATCCAATTGCTAAATCTAGAAAAAATTCGTCTAGCACGTGTTGTAGCTAGAATTGATGGTTTGTGGGTCCTCCATACCGAAAAATCGAGTGAAGGCAAAACGTGTGTCTAACCGTCCGTCCTTCAATGCACAACGCTAGCGCATAAACCGTTCAGCCGATTTTCTCCTAAACTGATATTCGCTAATCGTTCTAGCTGATGTCGCAGGCCCTAAAACTTGAAATCAAAATTCTTATTTTTTTACACGAAACCCCTGGGACACTTAAAAAAAATAGCTCCAATTTTTTTATTAAGTTGTGTTGTTGAATATTGCAAAGGACGTTTAAGAATGGCGCAGGTCACATTTTCGTTCATATCCTCAATTTTTCGAAAAAAAAAATTGGAGATATTTTTGTCTAAGACAAAGTCTGTTGTATGAACGTAGCTCTTCAAAAAAGGTCATGTACATTTTTTTTAATTACAGTAGTTTGCGATTTGTGCGTATTTTGCGATTGAAATTTGCAAAAAAAAACTTTTTCTCAAAAACTGCCCCATATTTTTTCTTTAACTTTTCTCCACTTGTGTAATAAAAGGCGATAAAATATATGGCGCTAGTCTGATTTTCAGGTATTTTTCGGATTTTTCTAAATTTCCCCCAAAATCATTATAAAATGGCAAAATCGAAGGTAGAGGTTCTTGCCTCAGTTCAAACTTATTTCTTTAAAAGAAGTCATGTACATTTTTTGCAAATACCAGTAGTTTTTGCGTAATTTGCGATTGAAATTTACAAAAAAAAAAAGTCTCAAAAACCGCTACAAATTTGTTCTTTAAATTTTCTCCACATATGTATTAAGAAATAGTAAGAAATATGGGGATTGTCTCATTTTCGGGTATTGCTCTTTTTTTCAAAAATTGCCAAAAATGTATCAAGACTACAAAATTGAAGATATATTTTTGCCTTAGGCAAAGTATATTGTACAAAATAAGCTCTTTAAAAAAGGTCATGTACAATTTTTTGAAAAAAACGAGTAGTAGTCGCGTAATTTCTGCTTAAAATTAATTAAATATATACAGGTTTCATGCAAACTAGGGGACACGAGAAAAATTGAATGAATGATATGAAAAATAATTAATTTAATGTTAATTATAACTTCCTATTGAAAATGCCTATATTTATTCTAGTTTTCCTTTCTCGCTTTTTTACTATTTACTAAATGTTATGTTTACTTAATGTTTACTTATTGATCTTTAAACAATCCGTAAAGCTTAATAGAAATTTCGCAACAATGCCGCATCGATTGAAAAACACTTCAGTAGCACTTGGTTTATTGATATCATCTTCTCTTTTCCGAGAAACCATGGACGCTGTCTTTGTTGTAAAGCAATCGTATCTGAAGTGTGGATATTAGAAGTCGGTGATAAAATGAAACGCTATCGATACTGTTATCTTACGACGAAAGGCATCTCACGAATGTTCGTAATTATGTTCATGCCAATTGCGTATACTCTAATTACTGCCTCGATATTATTAGCCAAGGAATGCACATAGTTTTCATAAAGCTACGGTGGCAACAGTTCGTTTCTCACTTCTTGGTTGAATTGAACGTTTTGAAATAATGGCTGAGGTGTTAGTGTAGTTATTTATATTTCCAGCATCACATTGGGTAGCAGCCAGAGGTCTAACAATCTTTAAAGAATTTATCTACCTGCCATACACATCATTCTCCATGTAGGAGGTATATCTTTCCCAACTTTCTCGTTGAGCAGTTCTTATCATTGCTTTTGTTCGATAAGCAATTTTTTTACATATCTGGAGATGATGGTCTATCCTTATTTGGAAACACGTATTCTACGCTATTTATTTTGGCATTTTAGGTCTTCGTTCTAGACGTAAAGCCGTTCATTTTGTAGATGTTTTTCCTCTTACTTATATTAATTAGCCGCTTTGTTAACTATTTGCAAGCCAATTTGCCATTCATCCTCATCAACATTATTCTCTATCTCTGCTATCTACTTACTCTCTGTCTTTTTAATGTGGAGATAAGGTATTCGTGCTTCAGTGAGATGTCTTCTTTAGCGAATTTTTTTTATTTGACATCTTCCCATTTTTTTTCATTTTATAGTTTAACTTTGGCTTCTACATGAAAGTGATCAGAGTTCACATCAGGTCCTCTATAAACTCTTACGTAACCGAACTGTAGAATTATTTTATCACTTGCAAAAAATAGTCTGTTACTGACTGAGTTCCACTGGCTGCCCAGGTACATGAATGAATTTTTTTTGCCTGTAGGAAGTATTTATCACACGTAAAGGATTAAAGTTGGCAAAATAATAGAGTTTCCCATTTTCGTTCAAAGTGTGTTCTTCATTAGTTCCTAATACATTAGGGATTGGTGTATTTCCCCATTATTTACAAGGAAGTTATTTTCATTACACTCATTTAGTATATCCTAGGGTTGGGAATGAAAGGGCTTAGTCATTTCTTTACGTCCTCCCTCAGGAGCGTACACTGTCATTATGATAATACAGCCTCACTGGACCTTAAAAAGGAGAGTCATTATTCTTTCAGTATACCATGTACCATTGGGCACTTGATTTTTTTATGTAGAATCTAAAAAAAATTCTACACCCGCTCCTGCTCTCTGTTCTAGTGGCAGTTCACTATAAATCATTACGCATTTTTCTAGTTTACATGTACTCTGAAGTTTTCTTTTTTACTTCCCATTACTTCGACAATGCTGATGTCTGTGAATATAATTATTTTTCAAGTTCGTGATATTTGTTTGAGACAACGCATATGTTCCATATCGCAAATTTAAATGGTCTATAATTTCTAGTTTCTTGTCCTTTTCCATAGGCCTAGGTTGTTCGTGAAAGATTAGTCCGTCTGTCTCTTTGAAGCTGATGAGTTTGTTTTGTTACGTAGGGAACGTTACTAGCGTTTTGCTAGGTGGTTCATTTGAACAGGGCTGCTGGGTTAACGAAGATTGTGCCATGTTTTCTCCCTCCCAGGCCTGTCTGGTTCTATCTAAAGAGTATAAAAAGCAAAGGCTACCTAGCTGTCAAAACGTAATAGCGTCTGGGCCGAAGAAATCAAGACTTGGCCAAGGGAGACCAATGGAATAGACGAAAGAAACGCGCCACGAGTAATAGATGCAGTTGTGTTCTATGAGACTCAGAACACCAAACGAAAGAATAAATCTATAAAACAGCTTATTTCGAGCGACCGAATACCGCTTTCAGAATCCGGTCCAAAACACAAAGCCAAGTAACCAGGGCCCGGCAATAAGAGTTATTGTGTCGAAAATTCGCCATTTTCCGGCGCACGATTACAATACTTTATCTTCTTACGTAGTAAGGGTGTGAAAGTAAAAAAAATGAAAAATTCAATAAGTGTGGTACTATAAAGGGTACTTAAGAAACAAAACACAAATAGAAACTCAAATGAATTTCTACAAAGTCATTGCTATTGCAAATGAAGCTAGTGAAAATGTGGTAGAAACTAGGGGGTGGGTTTTGGTGAAATGTCATTTTTTTCTTTTCACTTTACAACAATGCCATTTAGTATAGAAATTCATTTTGTTGTTTCATTTTGTTTTTAGGACATTTTTAAAGATTTATATGATCATTTTTGGCAATGTTTTAGGTAATCAAAATCCGCTCCTTATTTATAATACAAACACCTGAAATTACATTAAGAACATTCAATCCATTATCAATGTCTGTTTGAACCCAATTACTTGGGCTTAAAATTACTTTACATATAACACGACTAGTATGAGATTACACGTGGAAAGTGATAAGATATCAAATGAAATTGATAATCGATATCTGAAAAGGGAACGCACCAGGCATCATAGATCATTATTAAATTATTCGTCGACTTGTGTTTAAACATATTTTATAATATATCATGCTTGTTTAGCAAGGGGTGATTACTTAGATCGACTTATCTTAGCAAATATTAGGTAAGTTTTTTAATTTGAATTTAAACTTAAATGTATTGATGGGGATTCCATTTTGTGGGAAGTGTCACCTGATGTATCCGAAATGTATTTCCGTTTACGCATAGCTGCATATTGAATAATAGCCATATAAAATAATTTCAAGTTATTCGCCTCTGAAGTGTTCAGACAGGAACAATTATTAATGGCTCATTATGTATGTTAGTATTATCTCGTAACAGATCTCTGGAAATAAATGTTGGAACTTGGAAATAAATATTGATA